GGGGGGGGGGGTGCTCAAAGCCGCGCATGCCGTAGTCGTTCGATCGTTGACCTCGCACCCATCCCTACAAAGCCGGGATGGAGCACGCTGGGTTCTCGCTGGACCAGGCAATGGCACATCAGTAGTGAGGGTTGTGGAAGGGTTCACGTTCGTCGCCAGCTGCGTGCAGAAGTCCACCACAAGCGACTCCAGCCTCTTCCCTCACGAAGTTATGCTCCCCCTTTTGTTGTCCAGCTGCTTTCGTTTACCCCCCTGTCAGACAGACGTGTCAAGGACAACTTTCTCCACACGAATAATGGTATGTTTGCCATGGACGCCCTCGACAAGCCCAAACTTGACCGCCAGCTGACGTCTTTGCTTCCTGATGTACAAGGTGTTTGCTCTGTTGCTCGTGGTGGTGGTGCTGCTCTGCATGCCCCCTGTGGCGGAGACGTCTGCGGTGACCTTCACCATGGTGAAGAAGGGAGGGGCAGAAGAAGAGGAAGAAGAGCGAGGTGGCGGGAGGGCAGAGTCGACCTCGCGTTCGGGTGTCGCGACAGCGCCGGGTGAGGCGCGACGTATGTATGTATGTATGTATGTATGTATGTATGTATGTATGTATGTGTATGTCTGTGTGTCGTATGTATGTATGTGTGTATGTCTGTCGTATGTATGTATCTATGTGTGTATGTGTGCATCAATGTCTGCATATGTAGCATTTCGACTCCTTTGGTGGTCGCGTTCATTTTTCTCTGCTGGGACAGCGTTGTTTCTCGCACTTTCTTCTGGATGGCACGAAGAGGGCCCGTCGGTACATAACACCGGTCGCCCCGGTGGTCTAGTCGGTAGCCTCGCAGCCTGTTAAGGGCCAGGTCATGGGTTCGAGTCCCGGCAGAGTGAGTTTTTTTCTCACTAAATGTATTCTGGTCTATTAGGATGAAAGCGACGCGCTGCAAAGCTCGTTGTTAGTAAACCATAATCGACTTAGTCACGAGGGAAATGATTGCTGTACCCTTCTGGCGATAAAAATACCTCAGGCAGGAACCGCAGGAGGGGGTCCAGCCTCCCCCTCCTATGTGACCCCGGTTGGGTCGTCTAGCTAGTAGAAGTGGAGGATAGGGACCAGAGGGGCCGATGACAGATTCCAATTATGGGAGAAAAAAACAAATTACCTGTTACGTGTGGGGCTCGCGAAACACCGGTGGTGCGCGTTAGGGCCGCCTAAAGTCGCTGAGACTGGCTCTATTTCCAGGGGTTGGGAATCCGAACCATAAAAGCCTCCGAACGGGATGAAAACTGAGAACAGAACTTTATTGTTGGGGAAATGAACACAAGTTGGTATACCCACCCCTTTGTTGGGCAAAAGTGTGTACTCAGAAGTCCAGCTCGCGCGAGCTCCATAGGCGAGCCCCAAACGCCTCGAAACCTAATTCTGACACCTGAACAACACAGCCAGGGGCCATACACAGCACGGGCATCATTTTTTACCGGCTTTCAGGCACACCTTTGGCCCAAATACCGCCGCGGGGCGCCAGGCCTCAACAGAGTGCCCACTTTTGTCCGACATCCAGGTGGGTATACCCAGCGGCTTCTACTATTTTTTTCATGTGCCCACTCATGTCTATTTCTCGACCCACTTTTGCCCAAATTGTGCCCACTTTTGTCCACTCCCGGACATCGGACAATCGACCTCCACGTCACCGCACGGCAGAACGTCGAATAGCCTCGGATTGTCTCAGAACTCCGCAACACGGTATCAATGGCATCTTTTGCTACCAAAAAACCGACTGCGGACCGACTCCGTGGGGGAACATTTCAGAACATGCCAGCCCCCTTCGGTCTCCAACGGGAACCGCGCGGCACGGGAAGATGTCCGGCAACCAGCGCACTCCGCACGCCACAAATGCGTGACACACAACGGACAAAACCCGAAAGCAACGGATCGCGCCTACAGAACAGGAGGAGACGGAACAGAGAACAGCACAGACAGACGCAAAACCACACACACACACACCACCACACGCCGAGTGCGCCGACTCTTGAGGGCGGCGCGTCGAGGCAGTTTGCCCTGCAGGGCGCCCGCGCAGGGCCAAGTGCGGGTGCACCTCCGTCAGTTGCTCGCGGCGCCATGATTGTAGGTGCAACGTTTCCTTCGCCGTCGGTATCCATGTGTATTAGCGATGCCGTGGATACGGTGTTGCGGAGTTCTGAGACAATCCGAGGCTATTCGATGTTCTGCCGTGCGGTGACGTGGAGGTCGATCGTCCGATGTCCGGGAGTGGACAAAAGTGGGCACAATTTGGACAAAAGTGGGTCGAGAAATAGACATGAGTGGCCACATGAAAAAAAAAAAAAAAAAGCCGCTGGGTATACCCACCTGGATGTCGGACAAAAGTGGGCACTCTGTTGAGGCCTAGCGCCCCGCGGCGGTATTTGGGCCAAAGGTGTGCCTGAAAGCCGGCAAAAACGATGCCCGTGCTGTGTTTGGCCCCTGGCTATGTTGTTCAGGTGTCAGAATTAGGTTTTTTGAGGCGTTTGGGGCTCGCCTATGGAGCTCGCGCGAGCTGGACTTCTTCTGAGTACCCACTTTTGTCCGACAAAGGGGTGGGTATACCCACTTGTGTCCATTTCCCTTACTTTGCCCCGCGCCTCACGCCTACGCGCCCGCGTGCCCATACAGCTGCTGTGGTTGTTGTAGTACACACTTAACACACAGCAACTGGTGCAAATTCAACGATAGTAGGAGTGAAACAACAGCATCGGAGCGGCAACGCGGCTGGCTATCTTACGCTACAAGTGAACGGGTACCCTCGCGCGATGCCGCCCGCCATACGCATGTTGTTGTTGTTGTTGTTGTTGTTTCTCACGTTAGCTCTAAAAAAGAAAGATTGGGAGCCCGTGGTCTCAAAACCCGGCATACACNTTTTTTTCCACGGAGCGGAGCGGTTTACACCGCTCCGCTCCGCTCCGTGGGATTTTCCCTCCAGAAAAAACCGCTCCGCTCCGCTCCGTGACATGAACAAAAAAACCGCTCCGCTCCGTGACAATTTTGCCCTCGGATAAACCGCTCCGCTCCGCTCCGTGGGGCTTCCCAAAAAACCGCACAAGCGGTTCTTTCACGGAGCGGTTTGAGCTACTCCGTCACACAAGCACGGATAAAACCGCAATGCAGCCACGGTTTTTCCCACGGAGTGACGGTTTTTCTCCCACGGAGTCGCACAATTCCCCATCTTGTCCATGCTTGCTCGCGTGTACCTTTGCATTGACAGCACTAGTTGCCAATCAGAGAGGGAGTTTTCGGGGCTAGGATTCGTGTACAACAATCTTCGGCAAGCGATGGTGCCCGACCGGGTCGAGATGGTGATGTTCCTTAGGTCTAACCCCCATCTTATTCCCGAGATCAATAAGTTGGACAACGGGTTGGGGAAGCTGCTTGCAGCGCAGGCTGTTGGGAAGGCTAAAGCTGCATCTGTCCAAGCCGCGAATGCGGGAGAGCAAGTGGTTGTCGATGTCGACTCTGAGTGAACTAGAGGCGTGTTGTATTTGGATGGATACACGAGACGCCTGGCAAGTTTCAACAAGAGGCAAGTGAGATATCATGTGCTGTTGTACGTGTTGCAGGAACGTATGAACGAGTCGAGGAGGTATCGATGTGAATGGTTCCTCTCTAAATAATAAATTAAGTGAATGATTGACAGCTTTTTTTGTCTTTTTGGGCTGTCCTAGTCGCGAGGACGCATACAGTGTCACCCGCGGCCTCCAACCACAGCACACAGTACGGAACAATCGGTCTTCGGTGCACGAAACCCAACGGTTTTCACGAAATTGCAGGTGCTCCGTCGATTGTGTACGGATATCCGTGCGGTTTCGACGTTTTTTTCCGACGGAAAACCGTGCTCAAAGCCACGGTTTCGCGCGGTTTTTGCTACGGAGTAAAGGAACCGCTCCGTACAAAAAACCGCACTACGGATAAACCGCTCCG